TGGAAGAGCTCAACAGCTAGGTTTGGATAGAGCTGTCACAGTTCTGTGGCTAGAAATAGTTGGAAGTTAAGAATCTATTAAAAGTCAGAGTCTAGGAGTTGACACTGCAATGGTAGGATGGCAGTAGCTAGGAATGGATGGAAGTCAGTGGCTGAGAATCAGTTGAGTATCTAGTAATGGACAAAGGAATGGTGGGAGGTTAGTAGACAGGAATGGGTTGAAGTAACTGGATAGTAATGGACAGACAAATGGTGAGGGATCAGCAGCTAAGAATTGATGGAGGTCAGTGGCTAGGAATTTACAGAGGAGTGGAAGGGGACACTAGGTAAAGATGGAAAACAGTTGGTGGCTAGGATGGAAGTCAACAGCGTACAAAAGGAAATGGAAAAAGGGCAGTAGCTGTGATTTAAGTAAAGTCATTGTCAGTGCCTTAGAGTCACTGAGGGTTGCCAGTCTGGAAAGATTTAAGGAATTATGAGGTCTGTTTCGAGGAATTATTTAATCAGTGAGTTGAAATGGATAGAGATCAGTTGACAAATGTAAGCTGAAAGTCAATAGCTTTGAAATGGAGGTCAGAAGCCAGTAGCCGGGAATGGATTGTGATCAGTAGTCAGTAATTGGGAATGAATGGCGATAAGAGGTCAATAATCAGTAATGAATTATGACAGCTATTATCTATTATCAGACATATAGCTGCATTAGAAAGGCAGAGACAGAGGGCAGACAGAGACTTTTGTGACATAAGTTCACTTTGGGAATAGCCTACTTATCGTGTATAACCTAATTTAAAATTAATGGGGCCAGTTTTCACGGTTTTGTTGTCTCAGGAGGCATGCTCATCACCGCTCCAAATAGACTCTGCAAGGTGCGCTGGTTGGCCAGTAAGTGGAAATAGGGGCTCTAGACATTGTTTAATGTCTCAATGATGGTGCCATTATGGTTGTGAGTACTGTGTATGTCACCTAAGGCAACATGCCTTCATATAGGTCTACACATCAAAGTAAAACTATCTATATTAGCTTGCACCACCTTCTCAAAGGAAATGACTGCATTTTTTTTCTTTCTTTTTTGTCTTGTGGGATGATGTCCCAGCATAATTAGTAACTAAACATAATTTAAGGCTAAGCGGATAGAGAGCGACATCATCCAAATGATGATTTATAAATTCAATTCTCAGTTGTGAAGTAAATGAAGTGAAAATAATACAGTAAAACAGCTGCTAGTTTCACTTCTTTTAAAACATTAAAGTGACTCTACGTAGGTCAGCAAAAGGGGCGTGGCAGTTGGCATAATCGTTGCACAGAGTGTGCGCTTGTGGATGAGTGAACTTTGTGGTGTAGGATGTAGCACTTAATGGCATAACTCGAAGATGCATGGCGGGAGAGGGGAGAGAAAGAAAAAGAGCTCTATTCAGACGAGGGTGTGTGTGTGCAAGGATTTATGGTATAGAAAGATGCAGTTGCTGGTTTGGCTTGTTTCTCTGTTCCACACTGAGACATTGTTGCAAACTGTGTAGCTTGATGTTTGAAAAGAAAACCCAGAACATAAGGAATATTACCTCTGAATTGTCATGCGAAAAACAGAAATGTTTCTGCAGTGCAGGTGTAACATTACATCGAGACAGTGTGAAGATTTGGACCTTCTCCAAGCGGTGAAAGAACTCAGCTCAGGTTGTTCCTACAAGGCCTGGCAAGTAAACTACTGGGCGTGCCAATTAATGGGCTTCCGGTTGCACTCAATATAAAACCAACGCTTCTGCCAACCTGCCTGCTGTGGAGCATCGGACTTTAAAGGGCTACACATTAACAGAAGCAGCATGAGTGGGGGATTAAAAAAAAATAAAAATTGAGTGATAAACACTTCACAGTCCACTGCGTCAGAGATTGGAAGATTT